TATGACACATAACCACACTTCCTCATTCTCACAGTGAGTGTCCAGAAGCAGTAACAGTTGAATGCCAATGGCCACATGTAGCTCATAGTTCTTAGCTTCCGTGTCATTAAAAAAAAGAAAAAAGAAAAGACGCAGTGTTTCACAGAGAAATGTTCGAGTCCAGAGTTATGGCAGGAAAAACATAATGCTGGAAAAAGGCAAGGTTCCTGGTAAAAGAGCATGGTGGGGCTGGTAAGGGCTGAGTGGGTAAAATGTACGCTATGCCATGCATGAAAACATGCGTGCATACAAAGATGCATGCCTGCAATTCCAGCACTGGAGAGGCAGAGACAGGAGGATCCCTGGGGCTGGATGGTCAGCCAGCCTAGCTGAGTCAATGAGTACAGGTTCAGAGAGAGACCCTGTCTCTAAATAAGAGTGACAGAGGACAACACTCAGAAGTGACCTTTGGTTTCCACACGCTCCCCCACACCCCAAGCACAGGAGGTAAGAGGAAACTTCTAGCTCCAGGAAGATGAAATAAGCATTATTTCCCAATTCCTTCAGCTAAAGGCAAATGTACAGCCAATACATACAAAATAAAGAAAGCATATTGGTGAGAGACCTCAACACAACATGGTGGTGAGCTGCTTTATTTTACTTCTTGCCTCATATATCTCAAACAAAAAGATAAAAGAACCTTCTAGCTCAGAAACAAGGCCAGATGACAACTAATGAAAAAATGAATGAGTAAAAATAGACCATCTACTCTCTCCAGGTGAAGTACTGGGAAAGGGGTAACCAGAAAAACAGTGGTCACACCACCAGCCCTGCTAACAGAGGGCCATGTAGTCTTAGAGCTATAATTCCTTCCTTCCTTCCTTCCTTCCTTCCTTCCTTCCTTCCTTCCTTCCTTCCTTCCTTCCTCCCTCCCTCCCTTTCTCCCTTCCTTCCTTCCTTCTTTCCTTCCTTCCTTCCTTCTTCCCTCCCTCCCTCCCTCCCTCCCACCTGCCTGCCTTCCAGCAAGGTCTTATGAAGCCTAGGCTGGCCTTGAACTCACTACATAGCCAAGAATGACCGTAATTTCTGATCTTCCTGTTTCTATCTCTCAAATGCTCGGATTGCAGGCTTGGAACACCACAGCTGGTTAAGTGGTGCTGAGGATCAAATTGGGAGCTTTGTGAATGCCAAGCAAGCATACAATGTTCCTAGACCGAGCCCACCATTATTGCAAGGCTCACACATAGGTACTTCAGCATGCCCGCTTGCATGGTAAGGGTGAGATGAGCTGGGACATTTATCCCCACCCAGCCTTGATGAGGTATCCCCCCCTCCTTTATACAGTGCTGTCAGCTGAGGCCTGATGCAGGGTCAGGACTCATACTGCAGTCCAAGGACTCTTACCCCTGTCAGTAAAGACCACACAGGAGCCAGAATCCCCACCTTCTCAGCAGCAGTGGGGAACTCTCCTACTTGGAAACCACTGGCAAATGAATGGGAGCCCCAGGCTTCTATTTCCATCTAGAGGTGACAAGGCAGTGCCTCACCCCATGTCCCTTTTGAACTAAATAGCCAAGACAAAAATTGCACTTGGCAATTACAAACACACTTGAAACAAACAAACAAAAAAAGTTATCAAGCCTCAGCCAAAATGAACAGATAGAAAAACTCACCAAAGGAAACAAAGAGAACAAATGAAATGAATATTTAGAGCTGAAAAGAAAAATAACTGAAAGAAAGATTTCAATTGGATGAGCTCAACAGCAGAGTGGAGGTGATGGAGAAAGGGACCCGTGAACCTAAAGACAGAACCTCCCTGAATAATGGAGAAAAAAAAATAGACCAAACGACAACAAAACCAAAACCTACCAAAACAAACCCAAACTACAACCAAACCTAAACTCAAAACCAAATCGCACCATCGTCAGCAACAACCAAACCAAAAGAACAGCAGCTGTAGAATAATCCTTGGGCTCTGCGGTGCTGTGTAAGAGCTCTAACATATGTGCTGCTGGAGTTCCAGGAAAAGGGGGCGGGGTGAACACTTGCAAGAAGCGGGCTAGGAGATGACTGGCTAAAGATGAGAATTAGGGTTTGGGTTTCCAGAAATTCACCTAAATGCTAGGTAAGCATGGTAGTCTCCTTGTAATTCCAGCCTGGAGGGTGGAGACAGGGGCTCCCTAGAGCAGCAGGTAGCAGGGATAGCCATATTAGTGAGCTCTGGGTTTGATTGAAATATCCTGCCTCCAGACATTATGCACTGAGAGACCTTGGAACACTCAGCCCTAAGTGAGTTATCTCCATCAGTTCCATCCCCTCGGGGTTCAGGGAAGCCCGCGGAAGAGGAGGAGGAGGAGAGAGTGTAGGAGCCAGAGGGGACAGAGGACAGTAAGGAAACACATCCCTCTAAAGGCCATCATGAACTCACAGCGTCTGAGGCAGCACACACAGGCCTGTGAGGTCTGCAGTAGATGGGGTCCAAGAGCTGTAAGAGTAAGGGGACACATGCCCCCATGCCTAACCCGGAGAAGTCCCCCGCTGATAGCCACGTTCAAGCGAAAACCAAGCGTCCTCCAAAGGGGTCTCACTGGGGAAACAAACTTCTCTTCAGGGTGGCTGCAGGCCCAGCAGGAGACGACACACAGAAATGAACTCAGTCGTATCTTTGGAGGTTCCTTGTCTCAAAACAGGCATATCAGAGCTTTTCTTTTCTCTCCCCCTCTCTTTTTAAAATTTTATCTTTTTTTGTTTTTATTTTATTTGCATATTTTCTCTCTCTCACACACACTCTCTTTCTCTCTCCTTACAGGCCATTTGCATATATATTATGGCTTCCACTTTAGTGGTTTTATGGGACTCATGAGTGTGGGAACAAGTCCGTCTCTCTTTCTTGTGCCTTCTCTTGGGTTCTCTTCCTTTTGTTTTAGTTTTAATATTATCACATTTCATTATTCTCCCCTAGAAGCCTGTTTGCTTTCTAATGGGAGACAGGAAGGGGGTAAAGCTGGATGGGAGGGGAGGAATTGGGGGAGTAGAGGGAGAGGAAACCATAATTAGGATTTATTATGTGAGGGGTGAAAATGTATTTTCAATAAAAGAGGAGAGAGAAAGAGAGAGAGAGAGAGAGAGAGAGAGAGAGAGAGAGAGAGAGAGAGAGAGAGAGAGAGAGAGAAAGAGATCCTGCCCCAACAAATGAGAAGAAACGAGAGAGGGTGAAGCCTAACATCAACCTCAGGTCTTCATGTGCACTGGTACACATGCCTACCCCCACTCTTGTGAAGACAACAGACATGCGTATGAACACACACACACACACACACACACACACACACACACACACAATGGAAAAGAAAAACAATGACTCGAATCTGCCCCTGTTTGGCAAGAAACACGATCCTTAGGACTAAGATGAGGGGTCCACACTATGGACTGAATGTTCCTGTCTGCCCCACACCCATTCACGTCTTGAAGCCCAACCCCCTAGAACAACGGTCAGGAGGTAGGTGCATTTGGGGGTGGGTAACAGAGATGACATGAAGACAGCCAGTGGAACCCCAATGCGATTAGCACATTCTGTTCACGGTATTTGCTTCATTCATGTGTATGCATGTTTCTTTATGTGCACACACTTCTGCTTGGGGGTCCCTGTGGAGCTCGGTAGATGCCATTTATTCTCTGGAGCTGGGGTTACAGGCAGTTGTTGTTGGTGGGAACTGAACTCTGACCCTCTGAAAGAGCAGCTAGGTCTAAATGGCTATACCATCTTTGGGCCTGGGATTAGCATCCTTCTGAGAGTTCAGGGTGCTTCCTCCCTCGAGAGGAGGCATAGTGAGAAGGCTGCCTTCCAGCATGGCGGAGCAGCCCTCAGCAGACATGGAGTCTGCTGGTGCCTTGATCTTGGGCTTCTCAGCCTTCAGAACTGTGACAAATAAATATTTATTGTTTAAGCTACTTAGAGTGTGATATTTTGTTATACCACCCTGAACTGAGACAATTCCAAATGGGAAAAAAACACAAAGAAATCTACGCCAATTATAATTAAGTTATGATTATACTTCTGTCAACTAGAGGCTGAGAAAAAAATCTTGAAAGCAGCCAGAGAAAATTGAGGAAACACAAATTGAAATACCAGCAGAATTAGAGACGTAAAAGCCAGAAGAAAATGACAGTGTATTCCCAGTCTGAAAGAGAAGAGTCGTCAGCTCCTGATTCTGTATCCCATAAATGTATAAAGGCTGAGAGATGGCTCAGTGGGTAAGAGCACTTGTTCTTCAAGCATGAGGTCCCGAGTTTAAAACCTCAGCACCCACTTGAAAAGACGGGCATGGCTGCGCTGCCTGTAACCTCAGCACTGAGCGGGTGAAGACAGGGTACTGAAAACACTCTGTCTAGCCAGCCTGCTTGAATAGTGAGTGAGATTCTAGTTCAATGAGAGACCTTGTCTCAAGGCAATTAGGAGAAGAGCCATAGACAAAGACACCAAATGTTCTCCTCTGACCTATATGTACACATGCATGGGTGTGCATATTTGCACACTTGCATGCACCACAGATGTAAACATACAGAATACCATATACAGGTCCTCCACGCCACACACACACACACACACCCACCGTAAATATTTATTTTTAAGTTGTGTGTGTGTGTGTGTGTGTGTGTGTATGTGCCTGTGTATATGTCTGAGCATCACCTATGTGCAGGTGTCAGCAGAGGTCAGAAGAGGATGTTGGATCCCTAGGAACTGGAGTTACAGGTGGAACTGGAGTTACAGGTGGTTGTGAGAAGCCTGATGTAGATTCTGGGAGCCCAACTTGGGTCTTCTGCAAGAGCAGCAAGTGCTCTTAGCCACTGAGGCATCTCTCTAGGCCCCACACATACACAAATAAAAGAATAGTAAAAAGAAAAAGGGTAAATCAAAACACTTTCCAGACAAAGGAAAACTAAGAAGATTTATTGTTAGCCCATCAATGAAAGAACATCAAAGAAACTTCCATGGACAGAAAGAAACAAAGGAGGAATTGGAACAGTTGAGAAGGACGGAATAACATAGTAAAATATGGGCAACTATAATGCTCTTTCTTTGTGTTTTCTAAATTATGCTTGACAATAGAAGCAAAATTATAATGCTGTGTGATGTGATTTCAAACAATGTTTATAAAGGAAACATAAGGAAATTATAAGCAGGACATAAAATAAGGTGAATCTTTGTGTTCACTCAAATGGATAAAATGATGACATAAGATTTTATGCCTATAAAATTTCATATCTAGAGAAATCACTAAAATTGCTATGTGAAAAGATACACTCTGAAACACTATAGATAAACTAGAGTGGAATTATCTAAAAGTGATCTTTTAAAATATATTAGTAACTCACATAGCTAAAGGAAAAAATACATAAATGAGAGGCAGAAGACAAAAAATTTAAATGGCATAATGAAGTCCTAAATATCAATTTGGTACACTAAATGTAAAAGACCTAAAAACATCAATTAAAAACAGAGATTGGCAAACACAACAGAATTACCTTCCCCTGATGAACGTTACAAAAGTACATTGAAAAGGAAAAGATGAGGAGAGACATCGTAGAAATGTCAATCAATGAAAGAAGTGGTCTGGGGAGGTAGCTTTGCGACAGTGTTTGCCTATCATGCACAAAGCCCTCAGTTCAATTCCCAGAACTGTCAAAAACAGGAGTGAAGGCAGTGCTATGCTTATGTTAGACTCAGTAGACTTCACATCAAAGATAATTACCAGAGACAGAGAGGGGCATTACATACTGACAAGGCAATCAACCGAGAACATACAGCAGCCTTAAGTATAGAGCCACCAAGTAAACAGAACATCCAATCAGGTGAAGCAGAACCTGCTAGCACTGAATAAATAGAGAAATATACTACCATAAGCAAATATTTCAATACCCCTTGTTCAACAATTGATATGACAACTACACAGAAAACCTGTGAGAACTTGATACCTTCAGCCTATAAGATTCAACTGGCAAATATAGAGATTCCAACTAATAATATCAGAGCTACCTTCTCCTTCACTCTTTGTTCCTTTGTGTCTCTTCTCCTTCCCCTCCCTTGACTTCCCTCTCTCACACCTCTCTTCCCTTCTCTCTTTCCTCCCCCCTCAGCTTTCTTTCCCAAGGTTTAAAACAACTCCAGGTTACTTACAGCTGTGTAGGTCAGATAATCTCGTGTGAGTCTCACCACCGTTGGGGGTGGCTAATGCTGGTTTCCAGAAGTGGGTTGGGTCTCACAAAATTAGCTTCTGAGACATGGGGTTTCAGTAAAACAGTGACATTCCACATGCTCTCTTACTCCCTGCCTCATCATGTGACCTCTCTTTCCTCACCTGTTCACCATGTTGAGATGTTGACAGAAGATGGAGTTGTTCAATCTTGAACTCTCAGTCTCCCTCGTAAATAAAGTCCCTGGTCTTCGTTGTTTTGTTATAGCATCTAAAAAAATGAACCAAGGCAGCTGTCTAGGCTCCTGTCCATCCCCATGCCCACAGCTCCTAGGGAATACATAATGGGATCGGCTGCTCCAGGTTCAGTCCTTCATGGAGCTCTGGGAAGGGAGGGGGCGGCTCTGAGGGCATGTCTGTATTTCAGGTCCTTAATGGGCACATTCTCACCCCATCTTCCCAGTTCTTCGAAGATGGGACTCATCCATGCCCATTCATGGAGGTGGAAATGGTGACACGGAGACATCAGACAACCTGACCATTGTGAGGGCTGGAGGCAGGAGCCAGGTGACTTGACACAGAGTTCAAGCTCTTTCCCAGATGTGCCTTATCTCAGAGATCCAAAACCTAACCAAGAGCATGAGTGACTGTGATTCGACCCTAAAGACCAGGCACAGGGCTGGGCCTGCCTAAGTTCTGCCGGTGGTAACTGTCTTCTGATCACGCTACAAGGTTGGTACCCGGGAACGCGGAGTAAGCAAGTGAGAAGCGAGGAGTGGTTGACATCAGGTGGTCATGAGGGTCTTATTAGTTCTTATTCCTTCCCAATTTCAAAAGTCAAGATGGCCCCAGGGGGAGAATCTCCCTTCTGCATACCAGTTAGGCTGCTTCAGAGAGAGAAAAAAAAAGAAGGTTTTATTTGGCCCTGGACGTCATTCCTGAGAAATGAGGGCTGCAGAGCGTGTACACTCTACAAACTTCTTGTCTCTGATAACTCGCCAATTTTGGGTGTGATCCAAGAACTGGTATGTTGTGGGTTTCCAGTCCAAGCTGGTCTTGGCTTCCCTGGGTGGAGGCTTTAGCTGGGCTGGATTCTTGGAGCTTGATTTAACACATACCAAAATGTTTGGGTCCGTTGCAAAAACAGAGACGAAAATCGCCGTCGTATTTCAGTTCCAGTCCCCAGCTTAATGGTATTAGGCACAGTGATGTAATAATGCAACACACATGCTCCCAGGGTGACCGTCTGCCGGCTGTGAGCAGGCTCTGTGACTGCCCTACAACGGACAGAGGTTAAAGAAAAGCCAGGACAGCTGAAAAAGAGCCACAGGATTCTTCCAGGCTTCGTGCCTTCCTGTCAGTGTGCCCTGTGTGCCAGGAGCGGGGCTGGCACGGAGCTAGGTGTGGCTGGACTTCAGTGACAAGCACATGTGACGTGGGTACAGGTGGGGACTCCTTGTTTCTTGGTGATAGCTGTGAGTTTGACACCCCCCACCCCAGCAGAAATCCCTCCACTGGCATCTCTAGATGTGAACACACACATCTATGGATGGGCCCTCCCTCCCTCCCTCCGTCCCTCCATCCCTTCGTCCCTCCCTTCCCTCCCTCCCTCTCTCCTTCCCTTCCCTCCCTCCCTCTCTCCTTCCCTTCCCTCCCTCCCTCTCATAGCATCCTTCCTACCTTTCAACAACTCTTGTCCTCAGGAAGGACAGAAGCTTGTCAGTGGGTGCAGAGCTCCACCTGTCTGCTTTGGGGCGGGGTTTGGGTCTGGTTTTGGTCTTGGTCTTATTTGAGCTGTGCCATCTTCTTCTCCTGGGAGTCTTTATGGGCACTTGAGAGGGAGCCTGTCTACTGAGGGGAGTCTGGGCCCCAGACACAGTGGGAAACTGGAGGCATAGCCTGTATGCTCGGTCACCATGAAAAAAAAAATGGGCCTGTGACTGCAGAGATGCTCAGTGGGCAAAGACACTTGCCGTGCAAGGATGAAGATACACGTTTGATTGCAGGGCGATCAAGATGACTCAGGGGGTACAGGCGCTTGTGGCTAAGTGTGATGACATGAGCTTCATCCCTGGAACCCTGTGGTGGAAGGAGAGAACCGACTTCTCCAAGTCGTTCTTTGGCCCTGACACATTGTGCATATGTGTACACACACACACACACACACACACACACACACACACACACACACACACACTAAACAACAAATATTTTTAAAAAGTGGCCTAGCAGGCATGGTGGAGAAGCAGCAAGAGGGGGAGCCCTGGGCCAGGCAGTCTAGGTGAGTTGAGGAGCTCTAGGTTCCGTGAGAGATTCTGTCTCAAAATATAAGATGGGGAGTAATTGCTAAAGACATGTGATGTCAACCTCTGGCCTCCACATAAATGTACACACATGTGTACCTGCACATATGCCCCCCCACACACAAAGGTTGGGGGGGACATCAAGATGGATCAGCAGGTAAAGATGTTTTACACCAAGTCTGATGACCTGAGTTTCATACCCAGGACCCACATAGTTCAAGGAGAGAGCTGGGTCCTACAAATTGTCCTTTGAACTCCAGAGACATGCTGTGGCATGCATGCTTGTGCACACACACATGGAAAATAAACAAAGACTTTGGGGTGCCAGATGCTCACCCATCCTCTGGCAGCTTCTGTGGTCAGCCTGGTCCTTGGGTGTAGCCTGCACCATGCTAGGGCATGGGGGCGTCGGCCTGCTGCAGAGGCCTTTCTTGAATTCCCATGGGGCTTTGCGCTTCACTCACCAGTTTTGTCTGTCCTTGATAATTTGGACAGCGAGCAGGTACCTGAGTGGTAAGGAAAAGAAATGGGTGTCTCTTTAAGTTTTGTGACTTTTTTTCTGGGGAGTTGTGAACAATGGTCTGTTCAACACAGACAGGACACTGATGACAGACAGACCAAAGAGACAAGTCCACCCAAGTCTAGACTATTGAAGCAGGGTCAAGTGGGTGATTCAAAGGCAGCTGTGTCACTGAGCAGCCCGCTCCAGTGTGGTGACAGCTCACAAAGGCAGAACTCTCAACAGCTTTCTGTTAAGTTGCAGGCAGCTCTACAGGTCCCAGAGTCTCTTCTTGCCAGCAGTTCTTACTGCTTTTACAAACCCAGAGAGGGGCCTTTTGAATCTTGTAATTTTCCTGAACTTCCTGAGTCGTTTAATTTTCTGTTTGTTCCCCCCCTTGAGTCTCAGAGGGATATTTCAGTTAGGAGGAAACAGGCTCGTGCACAACACTGGGAAGTGGGTAGAGGCACACAAGCCTCAGGGGAGCAGCAAAAGCCAAGCCACGCTCACCCAAGACCCCAGTTCCCAGAAGCCATGCCACCAAGTGCAGGCCACACCAATTGCAGGAGGCAGAGCTGCTGGGTATAGGCATCTGATGAGCAATGGGTGGGAACTGTACAGATTAGTGTGACCTCAGGCCTGTAATGTCACCACTTGTCACAGTGGAGCCTAGGACTTTTCCTGGAGCAGGGTGGTACCAGGACACCTGTCTCCGACCTGCAGACCCAATGCGGGTCAGAGATAGGCCTTAGCATAGGCCCATTTTCCTTCATCCTGTTCTCTGATAGTAAGACTCATAAACCCCCGTGATGTTTCCACAGTCTGTCAGGGTAGGGTCAGCCTTAGAGAATATCTACTCTATTCATTTCTTTATCATGTTTCTTGTGTGTTATGTCTGCTTGTGTGAGGGGCACCACTCACCTGTGAGTGCTCACGTGAAGGCAAGAGGTCTATGTCGGATGTCTCCCTCTGTTGCTCTCTGCTGTATCTGTTTGGCACAGGGTGTCTTGTTGAACCCAGAGCTTGCTGGTTTAGCTGGACTAGATGGCCAGTGGACTCTAGCCATCTCTTCTCTTGGGACTGGGGATACAGAAACATGCTAGCTTTTATGTGGTTACTGGGGATCTGGACTTGGGTCCTCATGCAAGAGCAGTGAACACCTAACCCTCTGAGGCATCTTCCCAGCCCCAAGAGCATGTATCTGTGGTTGGGTAGATGCAGTCAGACTTTTCTTTCCCATCACCAGTTCTCAAATAACAGACCTGGAGTCTTAATATTAATGACAAGTGTTTGTCGAATAGCTCAGGCTTATTACTAACTAACTCTTACATTTATGTTAACCCATATTTCTTTTTTTTTCCCTCTTCCTTTTTTTATTTAAGTTAGAAACAAGTTTGTTTCACATGTCAATCCCAGCTCCCTCTCCCTTCCCCTCCTTCCCTTCTCTCCCTGCCAGGCCCCTGTCCCATATTTCTTATCTATGCTTTGCCACGTGGTTGGGTACCTTTTCTCAGCACATGTTCTTCTTGCGTGTCTACCAGCAATTCTTCTGACTCCACCTTTCTTCTTCCCAGCAATCTCTGTTTGGCTCTTCCCCTAACCTTATCCTCTCCAGCTACTGGCCAATCAGCTTCTTTATTAAACCCATCACGGTGACAGATTCACACAGTGTATAGGAATACTCTACAGGAAGATAAGAACATTGTGGTCCAGAGAAGATGAGAGGTGGCCTGGGGCTGCAATGTAGGGCAGAGCGGATGGAACTCGGGTGCCCTCATAGCGTGAGGCCCTCCTGTCCTGTCCCCTTTGAAGGGGACAGATGCACACGTAGAAGAGACCAGGTACAGCCTTGATCAGCCCTCTCCGTTCAGCTGTTTGAACATTCAAGACCGCATGAAACAGAACCACCACAGGTGGATGGCTGTCACTCCCTAGTGACCCTCAATACTGACTGGGGCCTTTAATGAAGAAATAAAGCCGTCAATTTTGACTGGACCCCCATCTGAAGAGCAAAGGGTCAAAGTGGGCTTCTAATTTTCCTTCCAGCCGCCATCTGTAGGCATGCCTCGTGATCCATGCTAAGCCACGGGACCAGGCTTCCCCATCCTTGAGAACCGGCTTGGCTGGCTGTCTGATGAACCAGAGATCCATGGGAAGGAAGGTCCGGAGGGCTGCAGTCCTCATCCCTGAGACCACAGTCGACACCAGGACCTCTCAAGCCCTCCGAGTAAGTGTCTTGCCTGGCTCAGGGAGCCTGCAACCTCAAAGGCCTGGCCCACCAAGGGGCCCCCTCCAACAAGGTTGGGGACAATGTGGCCTGTTTACCTGTCAGCCTGTCCACTTTCTTTTCATCTCAGAGGAAAAGAACTCCAGCGGAGCCACTAATCCTAGAGTCAACAGACAACCTGGCTGAGCAGCTTCCCTGGAGGTGGGTGCTTAACTCAACTCCAACTGTGCAAACAGACCCCGCAGGCCTGCACTGCCACAGGGGCGTGGCCAGAAGCGGCTGGTCCTGCTTGCTAGCTTGCCAACTTGCCAGTCCCCTTGCTTCCTTTGTGATTTTCCCATTGAATTGGGAGGGAACTTAAAGGCAGGCTAGGGAAGGTCAAAGCCAATTTGCAGGTCAGGGAGGGGAGAGGGGCCTGACCTTCATCGGGTGCTGTTTGTTCTGACTGCTCCAATTACTAGCAGGGCAGCAGAAGCTAGCATGTGTGTGAGCCTCAGTTTCCCCATTTGTTAAGAAGGATGTATGTCGATTGTTAATGGATGTCCTTAGCATGCATGAAGCCCTGGGTTTGATTCCCAGTAACACATAAAACAGGTGTGGTGGTGAGCTCTTCTGATCCCAGCACTTGGAGGAAGCTCAGATGTTCAGGGTTACCCTCAGCTAAGTAGGGGATCTGAAGTCAAGTTGGGTTGCATGAGTCTTTGTTCAAAACAGCAGCAGCAACTACAGCAGCAGCAACAGCAGTAACAGCAGTAGCAGCAACGACATACCTCTCTGATAGTGAAATAGTGTGGCGCTCTCTGAAAGTGCTGGCTACTGAAAATCAGAGAGGAACCGGGAGACTAGGACTTAGACCCCCAGGCAGGCACGAAGAGGGCCATGGCTAGGCAATAAAGGTGGTGGAATTTCCAAGATGGCCAGCTTCTTCCTCACCCTCCTGATCGGAGGCCAAGGCTTGGCCACTTAACACAAAGGCCTGGGAGGCTCTTGTCTCCTACCAGCAGGCCCCTGTTGATGGACTGGCTCAGCAAGTACAAGGCCACATCAGGACATGTCCCACAATAGCTATGGACCAGCCAGCCACCCTGTCTTCAAACTCCCCACCCCTAGTTCAGGGGAGGAAGACTCTTCACAGGCTTTAAAACCCCTGAGCCCGGAGGGAGGGAAGACTGCAGTTTTTGGCTGTCCTGGTCCCTGCTCTGCTTTGCTGAGGGTCTTTTCCCCAGGCTCCATTCTGCTGCACCCATGGGTTTCCTCACCCCAAGGCACACATTTCACCAGCGTGGACTCTGTCTGCAGTCCCTGACGTTTCTTGGCTGCTACCTGTTCTGCTTCAGATTTTTCCTGCCTTTTAATTCTTCAACTGCAGAGAAAATGAACCTGATTAAGATCCCTAGATTGTTCCAGGAAGGAGGCTGACCTGAAAGCTTTGGAGGCTGACCTGGAAGCTTTGAGTCAAATGCCAACAGAGAGACGGAGAGTCCTGAACAGAGCTGGAGGGACCAGCATGGCTGGGACAAAGGAATGGACTCAGATGAGAGTGGATGGCTCCTATCAGGGAGACTGTGAAACAAACAACCCGGGAATCCACCTCACAAGGCAAAGCTACCCGTGGGGAGGAAGCGGGCCCTCCACTTCCTCAGTGGGGAGGAAGCGGGCCCTCCACTTCCTCAGTGGGGAGGAAGCGGGCCCTCCACTTCCTCAGTGGGGAGGAAGCGGGCCCTCCATTTCCTCAGTGGGGAGGAAGTGGGCCCTCCACTTCCTCAGTGGGGAGGAAGCAGGCCCTCCACTTTCCCAGAAGCACACTGCCTAGCTGTCCTTCAGCTTCACGTGTGAGACCTGAGCCGGTTTGAGTGTGAAAAGCAGTTGATACAAGCTCCTTAGCTCCTAGGTAGAAAGCACATTCTTGGGGTTACTGCAATGACTCCATGAGTGACTGAGTTTGATCTCCCAGGACCCTCCTTGTGAAGGACAGCTGACTGCCTGGAGTTGTCCTCCGACCCTCCCTCCCCGTGTGTGCGCGCGTACACACACACACACACACACACACACACACACACACACACACAATGCAATTTAAAAAAGAAATGGTTTAACATTAAATTCTTCTCCCTGGGGCTAAAAACGTGTTTGCATGATTGACAAGGTCTCACTATGTAGTCCTGGCTGGCCTGGAGCTTGCTATATAGACCAGGTAGCCTTAGACTCACAGAGATCCACCTGCCTCGGCCTCCCAAATTCTGGTATTAAAGGGTTGTATCACCACAGCTGGCAAGACAGGTTTTAAAATTTTTTATCATTACCATTATTATTTAAGTTTTGGGAAAGGGTGTCATGTAGCTCAGGCAGGCTTCCAACACACTCTAAGGCCGAGAGTGCTAGGATTTTAGATGAGTATCACCGTATCCTGCTTTAAGAAGGGCTGGGTCTCGAACCCTTGGGCTTCATGTACCAGCTGAGCTATAGCCCCAGCCTTTGAACTTTCCTATGATAGAAAGGTGGATGGTTACTGGTTTTAATCATCAGTGGGTGATGCCATCAGGGACTAGATTATTTTCATCTTCCTGGTAAGTACGCGTGCCTACTCGTTGCCTTGGGGTGGCATCATGGTCCTCTCTGCTCCATAGGTAAGTACAGGGTCTCCTAGGAACTCTCACTGTGTCTCATTGGCCAGAGTGAGTCACATGGCTGCCGTGGAAGCCGGCTGTTGGGTATGCAAGCCCTTTACTATACTTCCCCAGTGTGTGCTGGAGGCCAGGGGAAGGCGGTTGAGGGGGTGAGGACAGGGAGTCACCAGTCGCCAGCTGCCAGAGGAGCTGACTATCTTCTTCCCAGGCCACAGACGGGAAGCCAGTGCCAGGGGCGGAGGATGCTTACTCAATAGGCAGTTTGATTGATAGAGTTTGACGTTCTGGGCTGGCAACCAGAGATGCAGAGATAACGCTGCTTCCTTGCCTTCCAGAAAATGAAGAACAGTAGAAAAGCTGAGATGTTCTGAGTGTGTGCTAAGGGACAAGTATGCACTGGGCACTCAGACTCCTTGCTCTTAGGGCTTCTTTTTGGAAACAAGGTCTCATCTGTAGCTGAGGCTGGTCTTGAGCTTGCTGTGTAGTCAAGGACGACCTTGAACTTCACATCTTCCTGTCTACTTTCCCAGTGCTGAGATTGCAGGTGTGCACTACCAGACTTGGTCTACAGAGTGCTGGGGTCAAGGGGAAGTCACTGTGCGCTAGGCAAGCACTCTACTCACAAAGTTAGGGCCCGGCTCTACCTAGACATTTTTTTTTGTCTCAGACACACTCAGCCCCCAACTGACAGGCTTGATTCTAGAGGCTATGGAGGAGGAAAATGAGTGTCAGGAAAGCCTATATCACATAGGTCTTCCTCCTCACACAGGCCCACTCTGCTCATACAAGGCCACTTCCCTCACAGGCCCTCACTCCTCACACAGGCCCTCATTCCTCACACAGGCCCTCACTCCTCACACAGGCCCTCACTCCTCACACAGGCCCTCATTCCTCACACAGGCCCTCACTCCTCACACAGGCCCTCATTCCTCACACAGGCCCTCATTCCTCACACAGGCCCTCACTCCTCACACAGGCCCTCACTCCTCACACAGGCCCTCACTCCTCACACAGGCCCACTCTGCTCATACAAGGCCACTTCCCTTACACAGGCCCTCATTCCTCACACAGGCCCTCACTCCTCACACAGGCCCTCACTCCTCACACAGGCCCTCACTCCTCACACAGGCCCTCACTCCTCACACAGGCCCTCACTCCTCACACAGGCCCTCACTCCTCACACAGGCCCACTCTGCTCATACAAGGCCACTTCCCTTACACAGGCCCTCACTCCTCACACAGGCCCTCACTCCTCACACAGGCCCTCACTCCTCACACAGGCCCTCACTCCTCACACAGGCCCTCACTCCTCACACAGGCCCTCACTCCTCACACAGGCCCTCACTCCTCACACAGGCCCTCACTCCTCACACAGGCCCTCACTCCTCACACAGGCCCTCACTCCTCACACAGGCCCACTCTGCTCATACAAGGCCACTTCCCTTACACAGGCCCTCACTCCTCACACAGGCCCTCACTCCTCACACAGGCCCTCACTCCTCACACAGGCCCTCACTCCTCACACAGGCCCTCACTCCTCACACAGGCCCTCACTCCTCACACAGGCCCTCACTCCTCACACAGGCCCTCACTCCTCACACAGGCCCACTCTGCTCATACAAGGCCACTTCCCTTACACAGGCCCTCACTCCTCACACAGGCCCTCACTCCTCACACAGGCCCTCACTCCTCACACAGGCCCTCACTCCTCACACAGGCCCTCACTCCTCACACAGGCCCTCACTCCTCACACAGGCCCTCACTCCTCACACAGGCCCTCACTCCTCACACAGGCCCTCACTCCTCACACAGGCCCTCACTCCTCACACAGGCCCTCACTCCTCACACAGGCCCTCACTCCTCACACAGGCCCTCACTCCTCACACAGGCCCTCACTCCTCACACAGGCCCTCCTCCTCACACAGGCCCTCACTCCTCACACAGGCCCTCACTCCTCACACAGGCCCTCCAGTAAGCCTTCTCCTTCTGAATGCATTGTGAACATCCCAAACAGCAGCATTGTCTGGGGCGGGGAGCAGCAAGTGCCCAAATACAGGAGACTTTGGGGGACATTTTGTATGGAAACTATGACAGAGAGGTAATTGATTAGAGTATGATTTGTGGGGCTCTTCCTAGCATTTTCTTTCAGCTCCCAGAGATGCTGCCAGAACCCTCTCTGTCCATAGCCCTAGCAACATTCGCAGAATGTCTCCTGTAGCTACTTGTAAGGCAACATCTTTTCTGACAGAAAACAGTCAAGAAAGACTGTTTCCCCCCAAGTGTGAAAGGGGCTTGTGAGAAGGAAAAGGAAAGATTAGATTGTCTGGTAAAGCCCAGGGACAACACCTGGGTCTCCATCTTAAATGTGCCCTGGGAGGGGGCGTAGTTTCCCAAAGTAAGGCCAGATGCAGTGCTCCTGTGTGTGTTTGCATGCATGAAAGTGTATGTATGCATAGTCAAGTAAACATAGATGCGGAAGCCAGAGGTCCTTAATCACTCCCCACCCTGTTTTTTAAAATACTCTTTTAAATTACATTTTTTGTGTATTTATTTTACATGCACATGTATGCATTA